AATTACTAAATTTTTTTCTCCTAATCCATGTAATTCAAAATAATTATGTACTAAAGAAATAACAGTATCTGCTCCTTTACCAACTAATTCACTTTCTTTAATAAGATAGTTTATCTAAAATTATATTTTAGAATTTTTATTAATTAATTTATATTAAATTAATAATAAAAATTAAATATATATTTACTTGACGTGGAAATGCATCATCACATATTCCAAATAAATGAACTTTATATAAAGATTTAAAATAAATTTTACCCTAATTATAAATAATTATTTAATAAAATAATATAAGATTGTTTTTTAATTTTATAATAAAAACTTACTTCTTGTTGAGATGAATATGGTAATTGAATTTGTTGTGCATAATCCCAAGAAAGATGAATTGTAATATTTAAAGAATTAGGTTTTCCAGGACGTAATAAATTATTAATTCCAAATTTTTGAATATCATTACATGCTAAATTAATATAATTTCTATAAAATTTAAATAAGTAATTAATATTATTTAATAAAATAAAAATAAATAAATTTATTTACTTATAATTTTCTCTTTCTTTATGTGCCCATTCAATATGTTTGTGCCATTCTAATACTTTAATTTCTTTTTCTTCAATAGTCCAATAATTAGCATTAAATCGCATATCTTTATATTTTAAACATAAATCACTTCTAGGAGTTAATTTTTTATTATGTGGTAAAAATTTTTTCCAAATTCTATTAAATGTTGTTAAAGCTACTCCATATTGATTATTGTTTTCAATTGCTTCTAAATATTGAACATGTAGAGATAAATAAGTTATATCTGCTGGTAAATATATAATTATACTAGTATTATCATGAAAACTTCGACCTATAAATTTTATATTAATTAATAATTTAAAATAAATAATTATAATTAATTTAATTTAAATACCTGGAGATGGTAAACCATTTTGTTTTGCATAATTTGCTATAAAAGTAATAACATTCATTACTATTTCAAATGATATTGCTCGATTACTTACTTTTCCTATTTTAGAATTTTTTCTTAAATTAATATTATTTTCTACAAAAAGTTCTCTTAAATTTTTCTATCTTTTTTCTCCAAGTCCATAAATTGTTTTAAAAGCATTTAGACAAATTAATTTTTCTTCAAAAATATACTCTGTAGAAAGCTTAGATTTTTTTTGATTTCTAAATATTTCAGATCGTTTAGTAGCATAAATAATATCTAATAAATACATATCTTGAAAAGATTTAGAAAGATTTTTAAAATTAGAATATCATAATAAAGCTACTGAATAATCATATTGAGTTTGTAAACAATTTTTTTCACAACATTGTTTATTAAAAGATTTTTTAAATTCATTATTTTGTAATAAATTAATTTCTTCTTCTAATTTTTGATTATCATCATCATCATGTTTTTCTAAAATATCTTTTGTTTTATAATATAAAATTTTAAATTTAGAAAGTTCTTCTTCTGTCCAAGTTT